GCCAGCTCGGCCGAGGCAGCCCGTGCGTGGCCTCTCGGGCGCGGTCCTCGTGGCGACCGCCGCGGCCGCCGCGTGCGGTACGCGCCGTGGCAGGCGAGCCTCTCCGGGGCATCCCCTCCGTCCTCCCTCTTCTCCTCTGTATCACCCTCTTTCCTCCTTCTCCTTCTCCCCCTCCTCCTTCTCCTCCTACCCTCCCCCTCCTCCTCCTCTCCTCCTCCTCCTCCTCCTCCTCCTCCTCTCCTCCTCCCTCTCCTCCTCCTCCTCCTCCTCCTCCCGCCGCCCCCCCCCCCACCCCCGACGCTGACGACTGCCAGTTCACCCAGGAGGGCCCTCGCCCGCGCCGCCCTCCCTTGAGCTTGTCGTACTGACCTTGCCCTCGGCCACTGTGTGGTCCCGGTAAGGATGGTGAACACACAGTGCGGGCGCGGCCGCAAGAAACCCTCGCAAGAAACCCAACCCTGAGAACCCGTGCGCGAGGTGCACCTGAGGGGAAGCCTGGAGCACCCCGAATGTAGCAGCTCCTTCAGCGGCTGCGGGAAGTCACCGCGCAGCGCGAGGAGCGAAGACACCCATGATACCCTGACGAAAAGCACATGGTTTCTTGATGCGCGCCCCCACTACGTGCCCCCTCCTTCAGAGTGCATCTGGCTCCCGCAGCCGCAGCCACAGGACTGCCGAGGCGAGGGCGTGGTCTCGCTGCAATTCGGTGATCTGCTCTCCGGTGTCCGTCGTTGTTCATTCTTGATCCCGGTTGGCCCCCCTCTTCCTCCTTGTCCACCTCTAATTCCTTCTCTTCATCCTTCCCTCCTCCTTTTCTCCTCCTTTCCTCCCCTCCTCCTCGTCCTTCTGCTCTTCCTCCTCGTCCTCCTCCACCTCCCACCTCCTCCTCCTCTTCTTTCCTCTTTCTCCTTCTTCATCCCGCTTCTTTTTAGATAACTCCTCCCTGTCCCAACCCCAGACGCTTCGGTAGGGCGGGCCGCGCGTCTCGCCTGAGAATTCTTCTTTTTGTTCTGATCCTGAAGCTTGACATTTACAGCAGTTTCACGGACGGCGGGTGGTTCTCAACGTGTTGTTCTCGCCTTAGCGCAGCGCGCATTCGTTGTGTAAGCTTGTAACAGCGTCAAGGATGCAGGGCGGGTGGTTTTCAAAGTATATTTCTCCCTAGCGCCGCGAGCATTCGTGTTAATAAGTCGCAGCAGTTTTGATAATGGATGACGGGTCGTTTTCAACATGTGGTTCTCTCCTTAGAGCCGTTTGCATTGGCCATGCAAGTTCGCAACAGTTCCAAGGATGATGGGCGGGTCGTTTTCAAAATGGGGCTCTCTCCACAGCGTCACTCGCATTTGCCACACAAGTTCGCAACAGTTTCAAATATTGAGGGTGGGCCGTTTTCAACATGCGGCTCTCACCTCAGCGCCGCGCGCAATCGTACTGAACATGCTGCAACAGTTCCAAGGATGGAGGGCGGCTCCTTGTCCAAACGTGGCTCTCGCTTCAGCGCCCCGCATATCCGCCTTGAACATTTGCAACCGTTTCAAGGATTCGTATGGTTCACGTCCCAGGAATGGTGTAATGGCAGGGTTTGGGATTGTCAGGGCGCAACAGTCACTCTGATTCGCGGCAATGAGGCCCTGGGAATGGTGTTCTGGCTCGATTGGGACTTCTCAGGCGGTTGTCTTGCAATGGGGCGTTTCCCGCAATGAGCATGAGTTCCTGTGTGGACCCGCGAAGAGGGAATTCGGAGGGAGGGGCTCTTGCAGCATCGCTGATGAGTTTGCACTGACCCTCCTCCTCCTGCTCCTCCTCCTCCTCCGCCTCCGCCTCCCTGCACGTGCACGCACGAGTAGGTAGGCGACCCCCCTTTGGAGCGACGCTCGCTCCTCCCCCTCCTCCGCCTCCCTGGGCCAGCTGCCGCGCGGGTCGTGCCCGGCCGGCTGTGGAGGCCGGGCCCTGGGCCCGGGTGTTGCTGGAAGTGCCCCTGGCCCGAGGTGCCCCCCCCCCAGGATCTCTCCCGCGAGGCCCCGAGGGCCTCCGGAGCACCCCTCACGAGGCCCAGAGGGCCCCGGGGGCTCCAAAGTTGAGCGAGCAGCTGCGGGCGCCTTGGGCCGGGGGCACCTTCAACACCCCCCGATGGAGGTCCCCGCCCCCCGCCTTCGGACTGCCGGGGAGGAGCTCCCCCGCGCGTCGGGCGCCGCAAGGCTCCGGGGGTTTCGTCCTCCGACGGCCTCGCAGTGGTCCCGGCCGTTGCCCGTCCTCTGGTGCAGTGTGCATTCCCGGCCAAGGGCCTCGCCAGGAATCACCGAGCGCGTTCCACGGCTCGCAAAGTGCATTCTCCGCTCTACCAGGAGGGCGGGCCTTCTCGGAAGGCTCGGAAGTCTCCCCCCATGCTTCCGAGAAGTTTTCGAAGCCCTCCCCAAAGGCACAGCAGACTTCTCTCAGGAGGCGCGAGGGCTTCTGAGAAGTCCCGCCTCCCTCTGAGGAGGCCTTCTCCTGCCCACTTCCCCCCCTCGCTCGCCGCCGAGCGCGGGCACCGATCTTGGGCCTGGGGTGAAGCGGGCCAGTATCGACAAGGTTGTCGGCCGAAGCCCCCCGATTCTGATCCCCCTTTTCCTGCGCTGCCCTGGCTCTGCTCCTTTCGTCTGGGGGACCACATGCGAACCCTACCCCTACCCCCCACGATTTCTGAGGGGGAGGGTGGGGTCCACTTCGCCCTGGAGCTCCTGGGCAGAGTGAGCCCCACCCCTGGGGGGTAGGGGTAGGGTTCGCACGTGGCCCTCCATTTCTCCCAGCGTCTAAGGTGGAGCACGTCGGACTGTGAGAGAACGGCCCTGAGCACGACGGCTGCTGATAACACTGAGAAGCATCCGCGCTCGCGAACACCGCCGCATCAGGCTGCGTCTCCCCCGCGCGCCCCTCATCGGCGTCACCCCAACATAGATACTAATGCTATGTGTGCGTCGCCCGCCCCCAGGGGCGACGCCCGCACCGAAAACTCGTATACAGTGGGGGCGCGCAGCAAGACACCGTATGCTTTTCGTCAGGGTACCCTGGGTTTCTTCGCTCCGGGCGCTGCGCGGTGCCTTCCCGCGGCCGTCAAAGAAGCTGCCGCGTTCAGGGTGCTCCGGGTTGCCCCTCAGGTGCACTTCGAGTGCGGGTTTTCAGGGTTGGGTTTCTTGCGAGGGTTTTTTGCGACCGCGCCCGCACTGTATAGTATATGCGTCGTGGCGGGCGCTTTCTGGCCACACCGCTCGGGAAACGATCTACGGCGACAGCATTGGATAAGGATCGTCTTCCTGGGGCCCAGACCCTGGCGCATTCCTTACTGCTTCAAGGCGAGGTGGGTTGCCCACGTTTGGCCGCCCATCGGTCGCGAGATCCTGGGTTCCTTATCGAAGGCATCCTTATTTAAAACCTCCACCGTACAACAAGACGGATCTACTATATGTCCGGGTCTGACGCGCGCCTCCGAGGAGGACATTCTCCAACCAGCGCTTGCACTGAAGGGGTCCTATGTTGCAAGATTTGGCGAAAGAGATTCCCGCTGATTGTAGTGGCCTTCGGCCAGTGCCGCCGATCCGGGTCGCTCGGGGTTATTCTCCAGACGCAGAAATTATGGGCGCACACTCAAACGCACACACACAGTCACACCACTTAACCTGCGCCGCAGACATGCGCACACAGCATCACCCACACACACATACTAGTTGGGAAACGCTCCTGTAGTACTAGTAGTAGTATTAGTAGTAGTAGTAGTAGTAGTAGTAGTAGCAGTAGTAGTAGTAGTAGTAGTAGTAGTAGTAGGTAGTAGTAGTAGTAGTAGTGGTTGTGGTAGTAGTGGTAGTAGTAGTAGAGGCCTCGTTCCGCGGCTTCTCTCGACTTCCCGCGGTCTCTCTCAAGTTTCGAGCACGCGGTGAGTTTCACGATATATGTGTGTGTATGTACGCGTGCATGCATGTATGCATGCATTGATCATGTGTGCCTGTGTGTAGGTACGTATGTATGTATGTATGCTTGTGCGCGTATGTATGTATTTAGTTTGTATGTATGTTTGTATGTGTGTATGATAATATGTGTGTATGTGTGTGAATGTAAGTATGTATGTCTGGAAGATTGTTTTTCTATGTATGCAAATGTGTTTAAATGTAGGTATGTATGCATGTGTGTATGGATGTGCGTTTGAAGAGCGAGGATGTTTCAAAGAAGAGGCACTCGGTGACGCGATCGTTGAGGGATAGGAGTGAGGTCGCAGAGGAGGAGGAGGAGAATGAGGAAGAGGCGATAACTTGAAGGAAAACGATGAGACGGAGGACATCCTGCCGGTGGCGCCCTGGGCGGTGCCGCGGAAGAAACCGGGGGCCTGCCGGAGGCAGTCTGGAGGCCTCTGGGGAGCTGTTTTGGGGCCTCTTGGAACCTCTTTTGGGCCTCTTGTGGGCTTCTTGGGGCCCCTTGGGGGTCTCTTGGGGCCTCCTGGGGGCCTCTTGGGGCGGAAAGCTCGGTTCTTTCGGTTCGTGGTCCCCCTCTTGGGCCCCTCTTGGGGCTCTCTTGGGGCCTTCTTGGGCTGTCCAGAGGCCCTCTTGGGCCGTCTTGGGGCCCTCTTGGGCCGTCTTGGGGCTCTCTTGGGCCGTGTTGGAAGCATCGTGGGCCGTCTTGGGACGGACTTGGGGGCCTCTTGGGCCGTCTTCGAGCGTCGGACGCCCGAAAAGGCAAGAACGCTAAAAACCCTGAGAAAACCAATGAAAATCAACGATTCTGGCCTCTTGGGGCCCTCTTGGGAGGCCTCTTGGAAGCTTCTTGGGGCGTCTTGGAGACACCTTGGGCCGTCTGGAGGCCATCTCGGGCGTCTTGGAGCGATTTTTCGGCGACTCGGGGCCCTCTTGGAACCCCTTGGGGGTCTCTTGGGCCCCCCCCCTCCTCCAAAGCGCCGGAAAAAGCGGAGCATGGCGCCCCCCCCCCCCCTATCTTCCACTCCCCCGGAGCGGCCCCGGGGTTCGCCGGAAACTCGCACCCCCCCCCCCCCCCCCCACCCCCCCTTCCCCGGCAGAGCCACCCCGGCGACCCCCCCAGAGGCTGAAGCTCAGCCTCGAGGCTGTAGCTGAGACTCCTTGAAACTCACACGCCGGATCGGCGGATTTTGGTAGCGGGCTGGGTTCCGGGGTTCCCGGCTCCGGTTTCCAGGGTTCCTGGTCATTGGTTCCGCGGGCCGATTTCGGTGGGTTCCCGGGCTCCCGGGTTCCCGGTCGAGCTCCCCGTCGATCTCTTTCTCGATCCCCTTTCAGTCCGTCCCATGATCGGGTTTTTGTCTCCTCGCTGCAGTCTAGTTTCAGTGTGTCTCTGTGCGTCCCGCCTCATCCCAGTTCTCCAGTGCCGTTCCCTCGGGGGCGGAAAAGAGGGGGGTGATGACAGGGGGGGTTGGATATCATGGCGTGGGCCATGATATCCGTAAGGGCTTCGCCCCCTGCCGCCGGCCCCCTCTCTCGGAGAATGGGCCATGGAAGAGCTAAGTCATGAGGCGTTGGTGCTGTCGTGCAGCAGTATCGGAACTTCATGTGAGACCGATTCGCAATCGGCAAAACCAACTGATCACAAGAGGGGTTACCACACAGGGCGATTGGTAAGACGTGTATGGTTTACGAGCTTGGTTACCACACCTTGGGATTAAAGGGCCGAGGGAGTACTCGCAGTTTGGGTTACCACGCCTTGCGATTGATGTGCGTGAGGGGTGGCACCGAATTTCAGAAATGTGGCAAATCCCTTGTGTTTTTGGACCCTGACCCCGCGGATCTGCGTGAGGGGTGGCACCGAATTTCAGAAATGTGGCAAATCCCTTGTGTTTTTGGACCCTGACCCCGCGGATCTGCGTGAGGGGTGGCACCGAATTTCAGAAATGTGGCAAATCCCTTGTGTTTTTGGACCCTGACCCCGCGGATCTGCGTGAGGGGTGGCACCGAATTTCAGAAATGTGGCAAATCCCCTGTGTTTTTGGACCCTGACCCCGCGGATCTGCGTGAGGGGTGGCACCGAATTTCAGAAATGTGGCAAATCCCTGTGTTTTTGGACCCTGACCCCGCGGATCTGCGTGAGGGGTGGCACCGAATTTCAGAAATGTGGCAAATCCCTTGTGTTTTTGGACCCTGACCCCGCGGATCTGTGTGAGGGGTGGCACCGAATTTCAGAAATGTGGCAAATCCCTTGTGTTTTTGGACCCTGACCCCGCGGATCTGCGTGAGGGGTGGCACCGAATTTCAGAAATGTGGCAAATCTCCTGTGTTTTTGGACCCTGACCCCGCGGATCTGCGTGAGGGGTGGCACAGAATTTCAGAAATGTGGCAAATCCCCTGTGTTTTTGAACCCTGACCCCGCGGATCTGCGTGAGGGGTGGCACAGAATTTCAGAAATGTGGCAAATCCTTTGTGTTTTTGGACCCTGACCCCGCGGATCTGCGTGAGGGGTGGCACCGAATTTCAGAAATGTGGCAAATCCCCTGTGTTTTTGGACCCTGACCCCGCGGATCTGCGTGAGGGGTGGCACCGAATTTCAGAAATGTGGCAAATCCTTTGTGTTTTTGGACCCTGACCCCGCGGATCTGCGTGAGGGGTGTCGATTTCGAGCCCCCCCAGCAATTCAGACAACGCGCCCAGGGGGTGCTAAAAATCCCGTTTGGGCCTCCCCCCCCCTCGCGCGGTCAATCAACTAGTTACAGTAACCAGCAAGAAGCAGAACTGTAACACTGGAAACTACAAGCTACAACTGGTACAGGAAACTGCGAATCACGGTCCTACAGCCTGGTGGCCCCACAAGGGGGCCGGCGGATTTCCCAGATTTCATGGCGCCTCTTCTTATTTCATTATGTCCCTGGCCCCCCCGCTGGGCCGCGCACATGCCGCCGGCCATGATTTGCACCCCCCCTCTTGGACACCTCCCTCCTGGCCGCTCCCAAGTTCCCCTCGCGCCCCCACTGCTCTCCCGGGCAGCTGCCGGCTGCTCACCGCGCGTTGCGCCCGGCCAGGCGAAGGCGCGCCCAGCTGCGGGCCAAGGGCAAGGCTCCCCCCCTGGGCCGCTCGAGCGGGATCCGAGCAGACGGGGTCGGTCAGAGGAGGAGGAGGAGGAGGAGGAGGAGGAGGAGGAGGAGGAGGTAAGAGGAGGAGGAGGAGGAGGAGGAGGAGGAGGAGGAAGAGGAGGAGGAGGAGAAGGCGCAGGATCACGCCGCACCGCTGGTGCCTCGGCCATGCGGCTCGATTCGGAGCCAAGTTTTCACCGACATTCGAGGAAGCGCAACCGGTGTCGTGGACGAGGATCAATGGAGAGGAAGCATGTTGCCAATCTGTCAAAATCATGCTTTTGATTCAAAAAACATGCTGTACACATGTTTTGATTTTTTTGTTTTACTTTAAGCACATTTTCAATTCAAAGGATAAGATTGTTAGGGTGCTCATTTTCATGGCATCCACAGAACCATGGATTCGGGCGCGTGGGTTGGCAACGAGTCCAGCTTCTGCGCCCCGTCGCCAGATCGGGCGGCGCTGGCCTCGTGCTCGGGGGCCATCTCCGTGGATCTGGCGCCCGCGCGCCAGGCCCACGGAGCCGTACAGTCAGAACAGATAGCAAGGACGGACAATTTTCCCAAGGCTGCCCTCGCATCCTCGCTTCCTTTTTTTCCTTCGGCGAGGACCATCGAGGAGCATCCTTGATCATTTGGGGGAAAAACCACGCACGAAACCGACAAACAACACAGGGAATGGACGTCCGAGCGATGGCCAGAAGGGTGCCCTCGCATCCTCGCTTACTCGGCCCATCCCTGACCCCTGCCGATTGCCAGCCCCGCTCGAACAGTCTGGACATGGGCGCCCAAGGGGCTCGCATCCTTATCGCGCATCCTTGCTGTCGGCTTTGACAGTAATCCTCGGATCTGCGGTGAGCTGGGGATGCTGATGCTGATGCTGATGATGATGCTGATGATGATAATGCTGATGCTGATGATGATGCTGATGGTGATGACGATGACGATGACGATGATGATGATGATGATGATGATGATGATGATGATGATGATGATGATGATGATGCTGATGCTGATGCTGATGCTGATGCTGATGCTGATGATGATGATGATGATGCTGATGCTGATGATGATGATGATGATGGTGATGATGATGATGATGATGATGATGGTAATGATCATGGTGATGATGCTGCTGCTGTTGATGATGATGCTGCTGCTGATGATGATGATGATGATGATGATGATGCTGATCATGATCATGATCATGATGATGATGATGCTGATGATGATGATGCTGATGATGATGATGATGATGATGATGATGATGATGATGATGATGGTGCATCGGCGATGCCGCGCGATCCTCCGACCCCGCCCGCTGGGACCCCCACCTGGGCGGCCTGCAGAGGCAGCGGGCGAGGCGACCGTCACCGTGAGGCCGACATTTGACTTCGCGTTCTGGGCCGAGAACGCGGAAGAGGCTCGCGGGCGGGCAGCAGGGAGGGAAGGGGGCACTCGACTTGGACCTCGACCTGGGCCTCCGGGAATGAATGCGGAGGAGGATAATTAGGGTGGTAGGAGGCAGGGAGGGACGATGGGCAGGAGAAGGAGCAATCAGAGGGATGATGATGATGATGATGATGATGATGATGATGATGATGATGATGATGATGATGATGATGATGATGATAATGATGATGATGATGATGATGATGATGATGATGATGATGATGATGCTGATGATGATGATGATGATGATGCTGCTGATGATGATGCTGATGATGATGGTGATGATTATGATGTTGATGATGGTGCTGGTGATGATGAGGATAATGATGATGCTGATGATGATGTTGATGATGTTGATGATGATGATGATCATGCTAATGATGGTGATGCTGATGCTGATGATGCTGATGATGATGATGCTGATGATAATGATGATGCTGATGCTGCTGATGCTGCTGATGATGATGGTACTTAGAATGATGATTATGGGTTGATAATGCTGATTATGATGCTGATGCTGATGCTTGTTGGTATGACGATGATGATGCTGATGATGATGATGCTGCTTATGATGATGATGATGATGATGATGATGATGATGATGATGATGATGATGATGATGATAATGATGGGGATAATGATGGGGATTGTGATGATGCTGCTGCTGCTGATACTGCTGCTGCTGATGATGACGATGGTAATGATGCTGCTGATGATGATGATGCTGATGATGATGATGATGCTGCTGCTGATGATGATGATGATGCTCATGCTGATGCTACTGCTGATGATGATGCTGCAGATGATGATGATAATGACGATGATGATGATGATGATGATGATGATGATGATGATGATGATGCTGATGATGATGATGATGAGGAGGAGGAGGAGGAGGAGGAGGAGGAGGAGGAGGAGGAGGACGAGGAGGAATATGTGGGAGGAGGGAGGGGGAGGACGAGGAGGAGGAGGAGAAGGAGGAGGAGGAGGAGGAGGAGAGCAGAAGCAGGAGCAGGAGCAGGAGGAGGAGGAGGAGGAGGAGGTGGAGGAGCAGGAGAAGCAGGAGGTGGAGGAGGAGGAGGAGGAAGAGGAGGCGGAAGAGGAGGATGAGGCGGCTCCGTAGCCATCTGGGCTCAAGTACGAAACCGTGCCCTGCGGCTTCGTGCTTGCCTGCAGCCGAGGGGCTGGCTCGAGGCGAGTTCGCCCACAGCAGCAGGCCTTCCTGCACGATCTCTACGGTGAGCTCTCGTGCGACCGTGGGTTCGTTCCGGTTTCTTCAGCAGTTCTGTCGTACCTAGATGGGTTGCGATGGTGAGTCCTTCTCGCGCTGTACACAGTACGGCTGTGGGAAAAACCTTTCGTGGTCGAGATGGTGTAAGCATTGCTGGTCACCGTTGCAGCCGTCTGTCCCGTCCAAGAAGCTGCCGTGCCGTGATGGCAGTCGTGAGCCTGTGCGTGCTCGCTTTCCTGCAACTGATGCCAAAATTTGGAGGCCATGGCATGATACCGGCACGGCCAGGCGGAGAACCACCAGCGTCACTTTCTCGGGTGGCTCCCCGCCTGGACAAGAGATGGCAGATGCAGATGAGGATGAGCCCACCGAGGAGCAGGGGCCGGTGGTGCTCACAACGCTCTTGTCTAAGTCAGGAGATGCCGAGGGGGCCGCCAAGTACCAACAGCAGCTTGACGATCATCGCCACGCCCAGGCCGAGGCCACCATCACTATCGGCCAGGCCACGCAGCGGGTCGAGGAGCAGGCGGAGGTGGCGCTCAAACGGGTCTTGGAGAGGTTTGAGAGAGTCGAGACGCAATAGAACGAGCGCGAGGCTGAAATTGCAGCAGCATCCAGCGTAGCGGACGTCGGCCGAGCCCTATACCAGACCGCAGTCAAGCGCCTGGCGACGTCAGTGGCAGCAGAGGAATCGGACCAGAAGCGGCCGCCCGCCCAGCCTGTCATCGACCCCACCGCCCTCTAGGAGGGCCAAGATCAGTTCTTGGATGATTCAGCCTCGAGAAGCCCGACGATATTATCTCAAGTGAAGAAAATGCACAGGCCCAGAGGCGCAAAGAGGAGTTGCCGCGGCAGTTCACGGAGGCTGCCAAGGCCTGCTTCAGCGATGTCAAGGACCCAGGAACCAGCAGGCTATGAAGCAGGCGGTGGAGATGCCAAACCCCAGGGTAAAGAGAACGCCAAGCCAAAGGAAGCTGCGTCGAGGCCAGCCACGATGCCTACTTCGGCAGGATCCGCGGCTGGCAAGGCTGCGCCCCCCAAAAGCGCCAGGCGCAAGTGCTCCGACTCCTCCGCCGACAGCACCACCGAGCCAGAACCGCGACCCACCAGCCTATGCCAGCGAGGCATCAGACAGTGGCGCATCCCCTGCAAGGCCAAGCTCCCTGGCCCGAACCTCTCTACGGCCGCCGAGCCATCCCAGCAGCAGTGGATGCAACGATCAGCCCTCCCTCTCAGGTTTTGATGGGACTCCGTGGGGTGCATGTTCTGTTGAGGACGGCTGTGGCAACAATGGGAAGTGGCAGGCATGCGCAAGCCACGGCGGTTTTGAATGCCTAGCTGGGTGGTCTGAAGCTACGCGGGGGCCGTCAGTCATGGGGGGCCGCGGACGCCCCTGCGAGCAGAAGACGCACAATGGCTGCGGCTGCGAGGACCGCATGCTGGACCCCAACGGCAGCTACGATAGCAGTGGCAGCGAGGCCGAGGGCGCAGGCGTCATGAGGGGCGATTGCCGCGAGGAGACGTCGGGCGGCGTGACCAGCCCAGGGCAGGGCCCGAATGCCTGGCCAGGAGACCGCCCTGACCAGCCTACTGCAATGGTCTCGCGGTGGGCAACTCGTTGGATGCGCGGCCCCAACGAGGGTCAGGCGGATGGGGATCGGGTCGAACTCCTGGTGCACTCACTTTCTAACCAATGAGCTTAGCCACCCTCGCTTCGAATGGGTTGTGGGAGCGCGCGGCAAATCCCCGTGCCTGCTTGCCGCGGAGATGCGCGCCGCGGCTTGGCATCGACGGGGGGGGGGCGGCGAGGGCGCTGCCTCGTGTGGCTGACGGCCCTTGCCCGAGACCAGCTTCGAGCTGCCCTCGACATTCGCCAAGCTGGCCCCCGGCGACGATGCGACTGGATTGCCGGCCCATCATGCTCAGGGCCAGCGCCCCCCCGTCGGGCCGCTTGGTCGCCGGCGAGATAGCCTCGCCGACGTCCAATGGGCCCGGGCTTGCGAGGGCAACCTGCTGGACTCTGACGACAGCGGCATCGAGGGCAACGGCGCCCGCATCTACGTGGGCCAGGGCGGGGGCGATAGCCAAGAGGACATCATGCAGCACCTGTACATCGACGATCGCAGCATCTTCAGCAGCGCGAACCACGGCAGGTGCGACGGCCGAGAAGGGATCATTGAGCACCTGTCTTTCGACGATTGCCGCGACGAGGAGCGCGGGGACTAGGGTCGCGACCAAGAGGACAACTGCGGGGGCCCCTTCCGCGTCTACTCGGAGGGCACCCATGGACAGGGCCAACGAGCTTGGCGTTAGAGCGCAACGCGTCAGAACGCACGTGGCCGAATTCTGAGGTGACAGAACGCCAATTCCAGGAGATGGCCTCCATGGTTCGAAGTCGCCACGTGCAGGTGAAAGAGACGGTTCCGAGATGTCTTGGCGCAGGGCGAAGGTGCCTGCCATGCGGTGGCCTTCGTTGGGCCAGGTCCATCGCGCCAAGGTTGCTTGGTCCAATGTGGCCGATAGGACGCAAATCCCAGTGTCGTGTCTGTGTTCAGGTCGCACGCCTTGCCAGGGTTCGCCGAGCCCTGGCGGTGGCCCCCCAAGCTCAATGTCGCAGTTTTGCTCGGACCCCCCATGCTCAAAGTCGCAGATGGCATTGTGCGTCGCAGCCCAGCCGGCCTACCCCGTGAAGGGCGACACCCTGTTGCGCAATGTCCAGGGCACCTGGAAGCACCCCACGGCCCCGTTTTTCTGGGAGGCGCTCGAGAGGTACTTCAGAGCTCTTGCCAACACCGATGAGAAGACCCTGGGGCCCGACCTCACGCGAGTGGGACCCCATGGCCTCCTACTGCATGCTGCTTCGGAGGGCGGCGGGAGTTTCCGCCGGGCCCTGGCCAGCATCGACTGCCTAGCCGAGCGGGTCCTAAAGGGGCTTGCGAAATCTAGGTGGCAAACATGGCGGGAGTGGGCAAGGCAAGCTACAGTAGGAGGAGCTACGGAGGCCCTCAAGTACATCCAGAACTCCCTTCCAATCCCCCAGCCTATAGTTCCCGAAGGCTTACTCCTGCAGGGCGACTCCGCGGTGAGCCACCTCATGGATGAGTGGGCCGCCTGCTGGCAGGACGCCAGAGGCGAAATCACTTCGGCCCAGGCTGCAGCAGTGGCCCAGACCCACCTCCCCGCGTCCAGCCTTGACCAGCTAAAGCAGCAGACCCTGCAGCAGTTCCGTCATGGCGCTGGGACAGGAGTTGATGGAGTCAACCCAGGATGCTGGCCGTTGCTAGGAGGTCAGTTTCGTTTGCGGCTGCTCGACGTCCTGCTCGCGTGGGAGCAGCGGCCCGACCGACCAGGGCGCTGGCCGACGATCATCGTTTTTTCCCAGGTAAGCTTGGCGGTTCGGGTGTTCGACCGATCATTCGAATGTACAGCCCCCATCGAGTGTGGGCTCGACTTCGGCGGGGCCTCGCTAGAGACTGGGGGCGGGCGCGCCTCCTCGAGAGCTTCTGGGGCGTCGAGGGCAACGCGTTTGAGCAAGCTGGCTTGGGGCGCAACGTCTACTCGTTCGTCGCTCGCCTCTCCCACCTCGGGGCCGCCGCCCTATTCGCAGATCTAAGTTATGCGAGAAGGTGGCTCGCGGAGTACTGGCGCGCGGGGCGATCGCCGCGCGCGTGCCAACCACATTGGCATGCGCAGCGTGCAAGCCTTCCGCAGGCCCTCGAGTCATCCGTTTCAGACGTCGGCCAGCGGCCTGTTCCACGCCCGTGGCGCGATCCTGGCTGGACGCAGCCTGGGGGCGAGCTCTGCGAAAATGCTTCCCGACCGGCCCCTTGCAGACATTCACGACCGTCGCTCGCGCGTCCGTGGGCGAAATGTTGCCGATGATGCTCATGTGCGATGTCATGGGGGTGTTGCCATGGTGGCCAAGGGGTTCGGGGAAGTTGGGGGGGAGCTAGCTCCTGGGTGCGCCCGTCTCGAGCTGGTCCTGTCGGCCGGAGAATCGTATGTCATTGCCCCGTGCCCTGAGTTGGCGGCCGAGTTATCCATGGGCCCATCGCGGGTTTAAGGGCAAGCTGGTCACCGACAGTTTGGGGTCGGATGCCCCGTGTTCCAGGGCGCGCAGGGCCAAGGCGATATCTTGGTGCCTTCAGAAAGGCGCAAGGACAAGTTGGAGGCTCAGGCAGCTTCGACAAGCGGGTGGGCGGGTCCATCACGCGCAGCGGGCAGGACCGCAAGCTCGCGCGCTTTGGGGCGCGGCGGTCACGGGGCTCACAAGCTGGCAGACCCATGATATCCGTGTCTCTGCTGTCCGTTCGCCCCACATAGACATGGGCACGGCCTCAGTGGGGCTTCGTCCTTTTTTCTCCCTGGCGGGCCAACGAATTGACCCTCTGGCGGCCTACCGCAGGCAGTTTATTCAGTTTTGGGCCCAGGCGACTTAGAGGAGGCCCAGTCTGGGCATCCTCCAGCAAGCCCTTTTCTGCCTTTGAAGAGCTTGACAAACGAAGTTTTTCGGTGCAGTAGGTGCGGTCCCCTGCGCGTGTATATACGCGAGATCGGATGGCAGGCTCTCAGTGCGCGGTTCCTTCTGGGCGATGGGCGAGAGTTGGACTTGCTCGGTCTTGCTCCGCTGCAGGTGGGCATCGTCGCCCAGAGGGCTGTTGGTTGCTCGTTCGCGCGCTGAAGGCCTGAGCATCGTCGCAAGATTGGGCCCGCCTCATCCTTTGGAAGCCGCCCAGAGATCTCATGAAAGGGCCAGCGCCAGACAGCTGGGGATCACGCCAACAAGAGGCCCTAAGGAATGCGGCCTCGCAATGCCAGTGTACTCAGGAGCGCCAGTACCGCCTGTTGTACACGTCGTCGCCGTTATGTCGTTTATGCACGGCGGCTTCTGGCACTCTTGAAAGGCCCACCGACAGACGGCACGCAGCGGCGAGCTAGCCAGAGCGGCCGACAATGCCGAGCGCTGGGGCCAAGATCTTGAACAACTTGCCGCTGGGATCGCCCCTTTCGCCCTTGAGCTGGCTCCCCCCCTCTGCTCCAATCCCATGCTGGCGCTCGCTGGATCAATCGCCCTTAAGGCAGCCAGCTTTCGGGCAACATCTTCTCAGATGAGTCAGCTTCCGGCCCGACCGAGCCCTCGTTTCGATGGCGGGTTGGGGGTTGGCCAAGGTGGATGATGTTGGCAAATTCAGAACGGGCTGCTACAGTGCTGTTCTTCTTGAGACAGCGCCTGTGCAGTCGGCCCGCGTTTGAGAAGAATGCGCCATATATATATATATATATATATGTATATATGTATATGTATATATATATATATATATAATATATATATATATATATATATATATATATATTATATACACACACATATAACGGCGCACCGGGTCCGGGGACCCGGGGCCGGGACCCCGACCACAAATGTGGGCCCCGGGGGGCCCGGAGGCTCGTCGGACCGCCGGACGCCGTCCAAGATCGTTCGCAGACGGCTTCGGAACGCGCTCCGATGGCTCCAGATGCCTTCCAAGACGCCTGTCATGACACCAAGAAGGTCCCAGAAGCCTCCAAGACGCTCCGAGAGGCAGCCCAAGAGAGGCCCAAGAAGCAAAAATCGTGCCATTCCTATTGGAAAACGTATATTTTTCGCATGTTCGCCTCTTGGGCTTTCACCGCGTCCAAGACGGCCCAAGAGGCGCCCAAGACGGTCTACGAGGCCTCCGGGAGCGCTCCAAGGCTGCGCACGAGTGGCCCAGGACGGCCCCAAGACGGCCGAAGAGAGCCCCAAGACGAGTTCGAGAGGGGTCCCAGACGGAGAAAGCCAACCTCGAATTCCGAGCTTCCGGCCCAAGAGGCTCCAGGAGGCGCCAAAATGCCGCCCAGAGGCGCCAAAAGGCTCCCAAAAGCACCCCAAGACGTTCCGAGAGGCACCCCAAGAGAGGTCCAAGAAACAAAAATCGTGCCATTCCTATGGGAAAACGTATATTTTTCGCATGTTCGCATCTTGGGCTTTCACCGCGTCCAAGACGGCCCAAGAGGCCTCCAAGACGGCCTAGGAGGCCTCCGGGAGCGCTCCAAGGCTGCGCACGAGTGGCTCAGGACGGCCCCAAGACGGCCCAAGAGAACCCCAAGACGACTTCGAGAGGGGTCCCAGAAGGAGAAAGCCACTCTCGAATTCCGAGCTTCCGGCCCAACATATCCCAGGAGGCGCCAAAACGCCGCCCAGAGGCGCCAAAAGGCTTCCAAAATCAGCCCAAGACGTTCCGAGAGGCACCCCAAGAGAGGTCCAAGAAATAAAAATCGTGCCGTTCCTATGGGAAAACGTATATTTGTCGCATGTTCGCATCTTGGGCTTTCACCGCTCCAAGACGGCCCAAGAGGCCTCCAAGACCGCCCCAAGACGGCCCAAGAAGCTTCCAAGAGGGCCCCAGGACAGCCCAAGAGGGCCCCAAGACGGCCCAAGAGGCGCCCAAGATGGCCCAAGAGGGCCCCAAGACGGGCCCAAGAGGGGGCCCAGAGGGGGACCACGAACCGCAAGCTCGAGCCTTCCGCCCCAAGAGGCCGCCAGGAGGCCCCAAGGAGGCCCCTCAAGAGGCCCCAGGAGACCCCCAAGAGGCCCAAAGGAGGCCCCGAGAAGCCCCAAATCGGCCCCCAAAATGCTTCGAACCTGCTTCCAGGAGGCCCCCGACAGGTTCAGAGGCTCCCGAGAAGCTACGTCAGACTGCAGTGGCGCTTCGCGCGCGATGCACCTTGGTCCTTGAAGTTTGGTATGCAGGCGGAATAGCAGGAAGGTCAAACCGACAATTTAGAGATAACTCCTTGTTGCCTTTTTCCGCCATCGCCGCTATAATAATGTTATTCGTTATCCTTCCTCCATGCTTCTTTTTCCTTATTTTCGCCGTGCTCAGCGCATTCTCCCCATCCTCCTCAGTTCTTTTTTGCGGAGGCTCCTCCTTGGAGAGCCTCTGGGGGCCTCACAAAAGTTGTTTCAGGCTTTCTTAAGGCCTTCTGGAGGCCTCCTGGGCGTATTCTGGGGGCCTCTGGTGACTTCCTCGGGCCACCCTGCCTCCAACCGCGGTCTCCCTGAACGACCGGGTCACGACTTGGAATGCTTCGGAGGGTGTCTTGGGGCCATCTTGGGCCGCCATGGGGCTCTCTGAGGGCCATCTTGGGCCCGTGTTGTGCCGTTTTGGGGCTCTCTTGGACTGCCTGGAAGCCCTTTCGGATGGTTG